TATGTGTGTTAGATACTCTAAGCTTAATATCATATACACACACGTATTTGGTTTCTATATATATATAGTTATATATATATACATGCATGGTTTTGGATTTTCATGTTTTGGACACACTTAGAAAATACATGAGTTTTCAAAAATAAAAATTCAATTTAAGAAATTCTTTTTCTAACATATTTGTTTTCATGTTTATAAACATTTCGCAAAGTTTCATCAAGTTTGGAATTGATTTGTTATGTTTAATGGAATTTACAAAATCATGTTTTTTGTTCGTGCACATGTTCGTGCATGTTTTACAAAATAGATGAGTTTTCATAAATGGGAAGTAGTATTCAAGAAATTCTTTCTTTGACATATTTATCTACATGTTTAGAAACTTCCCTCAAAATTTTACTATTTTTGGAGTTGATCGATTTACTGTGTCCAATTGATTTTACAAAATCGTGTATGTCTGCAGTTTTTCAGAAACTGTAAATCTGTATTCAAACATTTATTTCTCTCAACTGGAAAATGTTTTTTCAGAAATTCTTTCTCTAACATGTTATTATATATGTCTAGAACCTTTCCACAAAATTTCATAATTTTTGGAGCTGTTTTACTATTTTTAATTGATTTTACAAAACTAATACGCACTACTACAGTACTCTCGGTCGACCGCCACGGTCGACCGCCAAACTCTCTGTTAGTTACCGTTGCCCAACGGCTCTATTTTTCCTGATTCTGATTTTTTGGGGATTTGCCTTGTTTTTTGGGCTTTTCTTTATCTTTGGGTTGTTGTCTTGAGTTCTTATAAATACCCATCATCCCTCAACACTTAGAACCATCCAAGAATGTTTTAAACAAGTTTTTTAAACAATGGTTTAAGTGTGGTTTTAGTGTTTATTTGGATTGAAGATTGTTTTCATAAGTGGAGGAGATTATCTTCTTGTTTGGGCTCTAATCTCCATCTCTCCATCTTGTCATCTATTGGAGAAGTTTTCTAAACTCTATCTAGCTTTACATTTGCTTAGTTATTTGATTATCATTCTTTAAAGCTAGTTTTTATATTGAGTTTAGATTTGATTTTTACTCATTGTTACACACACCCACTTGAGCTTATTGTATTTGCATACATAGTATATTAGGGTTGTGAGAGATTGTAACATTGAGTTGTGCTAAATTGAGTTCTCCCCTTGTATGAGAGAACAAATCATTTATTGTTACATTGTGAGTGTTGTAAGGTTTTCGGTGAGCTAGAAAACCGAGTGTATTGTGAAGTTTTTGGTAAACTAGAAAACCGAGTGTGAGGAGTGAACGTTGTTCGGTGAGCGTTGAAAACCAACACTGTGAGGTGTAAACGTTATTCGGGTGAGCGTAGAAAACCCGGTCGTGATAGTGGATTTCTCCCCGGGAGTGGGGAGCGGAGACGTAGGACGGAAAGTCCGAACTCCGTGATCATATTGCTTGTTTGAGTTTGTCTTTGGCGTATTTGTTTTTGCATTTATCTTATATCGCCAATTGTGCATTGCTCATTTGTTTCATCCACTATCTTGTTTAGATTATTTACCCTTGTGTTGTTTATATATCCTTGCATATATCATATTGTATATCTCTTTGGTAGGATATATCATCTTGTGTTAGTTTATATATCCTTGCACATACATTGCATATATCTCCTTGTTAGGATATATCTTGTTGTTCATATTGCTTATCCTAGCTCATATATATTGTTGTATTTCATACTTGCTAGGATAACTTGTTAATTAATTTTAATTAGTATTTAAATCGGATTAGATTAGCATAAGACCCTAATCACCCCCCTCTAGGGTCTAACAGCTGCACAACAGTCTGCAGCTTCGGCGCCTTCGAGCTCAAGCCGAGGTAAAAATGTAAGTTTTGATAGGCATGCAATGGTAGCTGAGCTAACTGGTGGGTTTGGACTTGGATCATCGTTGGAGGTTTCTGAAATAGATGAATATTTATCAGCTTCTTTAGTTAAATATCAAGGAAATGCTTTAGTTATTTTACAATGGTGGAGAGTATATGGATCAGTTTCATATCCTATACTTTCCACCATGGTTCGTGACTTACTAACAATGCAGGTTTTGATGGTAGCTTCGGAATCCGCCTTCAGCACAGCAGGACGTTTGATAGACGATCACAGGACATGCTTAGATCCGTATACTGTACAAGCGGTAATGTGCTTACAAGATTGGTGGACGTATGAGAAGCGAACACAAAACATCGATCGGATGGCTAGAATTAAAGATAAATTTGAAGAGTTGAGACTAGCAGATAAATATAAAGATTAAACAATATTCATCAAATTGTAATTTTTATTTCTTAGCTTTAAATGTATAATAAATTATTTTAGAAATAGTTATAAATGATAGTGATATAGGTGAGTAGGTGCCAACCTAGTTGGGATGTACTCATCTATTGTGATGCGACGAATTCCGAAATAAATTTATACTTGTAAAAGATTTACTGATTATTAATAAAGAAGTTATTTTTATCATCTTTTATTTTTATAATTTTTTGTATTTGTAATTTATGTCATTTTAAGTTATTAATAATAAGATTGTTTTTAATTTTATTTTCTGGCCCGGGTCCAGGCTCCGGTTTTGCCCGGCCCGGGCCCGGTTTTCCGGGCTGGGCCGGCCCGGATGGACAGGCCTAGAGGTTTTTAATTTCTCAACACAAACAATTTCAGATGTGTAATCTTCGAGCAAATTCATTTCGATTCTTTCAAGAGGAATAGTTGGTTCTATGTGAGTCTAAAAAGGAATTGAACAGCAAAAGGAAAAACCTTAGAAATATTAGACAATGGCATGACAGATGTAAGATATTAGCGTGACAATGCTGTAGGGGAAATGAAGAGGTGGAAGACACAAACTTAGAAAGGATCCGTGGACCGGGAAAATGATTTTCAGTGAGCTCTTCCACCAAGGTTATGCAAGCCGCTAAAGCTGCCGCACTTTTGCCTTCTTGAGATGCAAGTTCAGCACCCTGAAGAATCAAGCATAATTAATGAGGAGAGTTCAGAAGAAATTAATGAAGAGCTTCACACAAATTTCTGTAGGACGTTCAAGCAATTAACAAAGAAATGATTATAACGCGATTGACATGTAAAGAAAGGAAAGCGAAATGAAAAAATATAAGCACTTTCCCTTCTGTTCCACGAGATCAGCAAATTGAAGCTGCAAGATATTTGAATACACGTGCAACGCACGTGCACCATACTAGTATCCTTAAATGCGTTTATAATGTACGTTGACTAGACGATGAAGTAAACACGCGTTGGCTATACAGTGAAGTAAACATGTGTGCATGGCTAATAAGTCATGAATAATCTGCCAAATATAATTCTTAAAATTTGCAAACTTCTTCTTTAAGCAGTTTTTAAAGCAAAAATATTTCTAAGGAAGGATATTTTTGGTAATTCTAAGTAATCAAATTAATGAGGGATAGCCACTCATTTCTTTCAAACCATATATCTCAGAGCTCCTAGTTGGTGCGCTTTCCATCGCCAAAGTACTGGAAAAAAACCCATTAGAATGTTCAATATTATCAACAAAGTACTGGAAAAAAAACCCATTGAAAATCCTAGGAAACAGCGAAAACACTGCAGCTCGAAGCCCAATTACAGCCAGCGCCCATCGCCGACGGTCCCAAGACCATGACCAGCGTTGACCATTTACAATCCCTCTTTCGTTGCGTAGGCAGGTTCCGTTGCTTCCCGGTTGACCGTTAGAATGTTCCATTCAACCGTTTGTCGTACCCCATGACCGTTAGAATGTTCCATTCAACCGTTTGTCGTACCCCATGACCGTTAGAATGTTCCATTCAACCGTTTGTCGTACCCCATGACCGTTACCACTCTTCTAAACCACTGTACGTTCTCTGAGAATTGTTCGCGAAGACCATGATCGTGTAAGACCGTAGTTGAGCCCCCTTAGTGTTCGATAGTTAATGTAAAAAAAATTTGATCCTGATTGATCGTAAGATGCAGTTCCACCTTATTCGCGAATTGTCCCGTGCTGAAATTGCAAGGACTTAGGAGCAATTTCAAAGATGTCAAGGACTGTAATGAAATTGTTGAAGATTTGAGGGACTAATGTCTAACGGTCATGAAGGCAATTACATAGAACGGTTTTCATGAGCTTTCTGGATCCGAGCTGTTTGGTTTTGTGGAAATAGAGTTGTGGATATAAATAATACAACAGTTTTATATTTAATTGTCTGGGTTAAATATTTTTAATTCAGAAAGGTTAAAAAAAAATTGCAGAAAAGCCTGAGCAAAATGTTGTACCCAATTTGGTGAGAGGATAAGAAGCAACCTTAAAAAAATTTAAGTAATAAAAGATAATTTCACCTCACCGAAAAAATCTTTCAATTCCCAATAAAAAAACGATGTACAAACATTTCTGTAATAAACTCTTCGATATTCACTCAATAAATCTCAAGTTAGTTTCTTGCAACAAAGCTTCACACATTACAATTTATTGTTGCAGCAAACCACACACCCCCAAATTACCTTCCAATATCTTGAAAGCAGATCAAATAGCAAATACTCCTTAATATGGTATTTTTATACCTAACCCAAAAATAAGTAGTAATAATAATAATAATTAATAAAAAATAAAAATGCATTGCTTCATACTTTTCCATGCTCTATGCAAATTTGCCTTAATTATCTGAGGACTTTAGTTCAAAACAAGTACTGATATTCCTAACGAGCTTGCTCTTTGTTGTACGACTAGTAAGAAATAAACCAGGCTGCAAACAACAACGAAACAAATAACATCTTTATCCAAAGATAGAGGGACTGCATGATACAGAACCAAATACAATCAACAACATTGAAGAAGATAAATGATTTTCTTTTGTGCCGTCATTTTGTGTTACACCTTCAAAGGGTCTGCAACCCCATCACTATCATCAAACGAAACAATTCTGATCAAAGAGCAGGTAAAGTTCTAAACTTTCTAAGTAAACTGTATGTATATGTTTCTCTGTTACTAGCTCGATTCTGGGGGTACAAGCTTCAGGCTACGCATCCACTCGCAGAAGCTGTAGTCGTCAAAATGAAGGAAACTGGCCTTTAGCCGCGCTCTCTGATCAGGCGTTAGCGTACGTAGCTGAGGGAATCTTGCCTCCTGAAATCAGAAAAACAAATGAACTTTTCTTAGTTATCCATATCAAAAGCTCAAGCTCCCTAGTTTTTAGGAAAATTGAAATGTTAATGTTCACCAAGTATAGGATCACTAACATTAAAAACATTAATGTTAATGTTTCCCAAGTATAGGATCAGAAAAACAAATGAACTTTTATTGGTTACCCATATGAAAAAACTCAGGCTTCCTGGTTTTTAAGAAAAATGAAATGTTAATGTTCCCCAAGTATAGAATCAACTTTTATTGGCTGTTCAGTTCAGGGTTTCCCAGGGTTAATAAGTATTCAACCAAAAAGAGTGCAGGCCTCAAATACATTTGTACAGCCAAAACTTGAAGAGGCTAACGAAGCTTACTACAAACTATGAAGTTATAACTTCTATCAAGGCCTTAATTTATACCCAAAAGATCAACTTGATCAGTTCCACAGACTAGTTGATTCAAACATAAACATAAAGCTAAAGCTGATGAAATGCATCCTTGCAAAATACAAAGTGTCTAATCTCCCCCACTTTTTCTTCAACAAAAGGACTTGAAGGACTCAGGCTCAGCCGTTTATAAAAGAAATTACACAAGGTTGTGGAATTTCAAGACCAAGCCTAACACATCATCGAAAAAAGATAATCAGAATATAAGTCCAGCTACAATCTTAGCTGACCTAACCTCAGTGAAGTTGAACTGCATCCTAACATATGTTAATTTGCCAGTATTTGAATGCCGTCGTTTAGGAATAAAATTTTATTAGACTTTGTTGATATAAAAATCTTAATGCAATCATGTTTATTTAAAGTCCATCCTGAATATCAGCGCAGTATTAAAGACCAGCACAAGGAACCACTTGAAGAAGCTGTCTGTACCTGTTCATAAGGAGGATCTTTATGAGCTGGTATTAGCCGAGAAACAAAATATCTTGCTTGTGAGCTCCCCTCCTACATAACCAATTAGTAATTATGAACCACATTAGACTAGGGAGATCAAGGACTTTCACATGTCTGTGAATGCTTATTATCATCATGAAAACAAGAGCAAGAGAGACAACCCTTGAGATGCGAAATACAAATAATAGCAGGCAAAGATCATATAAACTTCTTATTTTGCATAGTAACTTATCTATTAAGCAGTAACTCAACCAAGGAAAATATCACAGTTGCCGAGAAACGTATCAAACAAATTAGAATGGAAGCAAGTAAAAAGACCTCAAAACACTAAAACAACATACATAAATTATATCACATACAGACACAACAATAAGAAAAACAATAGTGATGTGATAGTGACAACTTTGATCAATATCAGGATGAATTTAATATTTTCTTGATAGGCTCTAAGCTTCCTCAATGTGCATATAACTACAAACTATAGTCTGTGAAATTCATGAGGTTATCGATTCATTCACTTATGTGGAATAATTTAAGTAACTTCTTTTTTCAGGAAAACTAAGATTAATGCAACAATTTTAGTTGCATAACAAGAAGGACAATGAAAATATGGTTGATGAGTGTTTGATTCTTCAACACATAAATAAGTACATATATATAATATTCATGTAATTATGCAAATTCATTTTATTTCCTTCCAGATATGAGTCCAAAAAGGATGTAAATACACCTGTCATGAACATAAAAAACAAAAATCTTAGATATGCAAGAGTAATGGCATGGCAGATATAAGATATTAATGTACAGTGGTGTAGAGGAAACAAAGAGGTGAAAGACAAACTTTGAAAGAAAGGATCCGTGGAGCAGGAAAACGATTTTCAGTGAGTTCTTCTGCCAAGGTTCTGCAAGCCGCTAAAGCTGCCGCACTTTTGCCTTCTTGAGATGCAAGTTCAGCACCCTGAAGAAGAAATCATCAACAATCCAAAAACATGGTTTGAGAAAATTTCTTAAGAAATTAATGATTAGGAGCTCTAGACAAATTTCCAATACAATGTTCAAGCAGATAAACAAAGAAATGTATAGAACATGGTTGACTGTCGACATATAAAAAGAGGGAATCACAATAAAAAATAAGCACTTCCCCTTCTATTCCTCGAGATCAGCTAATAGTTTCTGAGAAGAAATTTGAAGAAAGAACAAACAACTAGAATAAATAAAGTAGTTAAAGATAATTCTTTCCACAGCTACAAAAGAAGATAATAAAAGAAAAAAAATGTTATGCTCATACGCGCGCACACACAGATATATAGAAGGATAGATGGCGATGTTTGTGCGAGTCTGCTAGATGTAGTTGAGCATCACACAACAATTCATTTATCACATATCTGATACCTCAGCTGGATCAACTTGATTTAAAGGCAAAATATTATTAAGTGCAACATTTAGGGTAAGACAAAGTATGATAACTAATTGGCGAATAAAACATGTTAAAATGACTACTAATTCATGATTAGTCCGCTAAAATATAATTCTTAAGATTTGGCTAGATTCTTCTCTAAGCAGTTTCTTACAAACTGCTAAGGATATTGTTGGTACTTTTGAATAATCCAATTAATGAGGGACAGCCATATATTTCTTTCAGAACAAATATTTTATGGCTCTTAGTCGGTTACGCATACAAGGTTCATACCATGTGGACCAAGCCATTCCAATAAATGGAATTTCCCTTCCTCCCTTCCAAACACAGCTCAAGAGAACTAGTAATATTCTTGTAATTTGTAAACATCAATACTATCAACAAAGCAGCGGAAATGTTCTTCATTTAGGATCAAACTAAAATTTCTAACCATGAGATACTAGTTCAATGACGACATATGTGAGTTAGATATTAGTTCAATGACAATATATATGAGTTACATCTTCACTTATTTATTTGCTTCAAAACACAGATGTACTAGATAACTGAGAATAACATACATCCATCAACAAACAAGAGGAAGAGAAGGCAGTATAAAATAAATCTTTCTGCGTGATTGAATTAAATGTACTCGTGTGTGTACACGCGCATGAGATCATGTAGTGGTTATTTTATTTTTGGAATTTCAACAACCCAAAGGCTATAGGTGTCCAAGACTGACATCCAGACAATATAAACACAGGAAAATTTGGTAAATGAACTTGAGAGTACATAAATTTCATATACCTTGTGCCCAACTGCATAACATTTAAATGAAGACCATGTGCTATGCAAATAGACTTCATGATTCCAGTAAAGAACAAACAGAAAGTAGCAAATATAAGCAAGAATAACCAAATACATACCATCCAAATGAAATTTAAATGAAAATCATGTGCTGTGAAAATAGATTTCATGATTCCAGTAAAGAACAAACAGAAAGTAGCAAATATCAGCAAGAATAACCAAATACATACCAACCAAATGAAAACATCTGTCCCATGATCAAGCACAACAGCAGTATTAGACTGCATGGCAAGATCATATGCTGGCAACTCTTCAAATGTGCCTCCTTCACGGTGCATTAAGCATCGCGGTGCCAGCATTCGGAGAGACAAGTCGAAAGATGCATTCAAGAACAAGTTTCTTAAAACAGATCTTTCATCTTCATGGCCAACTATATTTCCTAACAATGGTCCCCTTCTAAGATGAAACAAGTTCTCAGGCAGCAAAGAAAGTTCCTTTGGGAACCGGAAAAGCTTTGACTTCGGCATCTGAGATCCAAATTTAGAAGCAATGTCCTTGACTCTCTCATCTACTGTAAGTCTCATGTCAATTGCATCAGTAGGGTTTTGGGCATAAAGTAGACTCCTTTTAGCAATAAGAACAGAAGAGACGTCTTCTTGAATGCTCCCAAGATATGCAGAAACACTGTCTACAGTAGGTAGCCTCACGGTGATAACTCTAGATATGTCAGCCCGGTACACATCTGAATATTGAACTGCAAATTGGAAATAAACATGGTCGTTCTTAATATCGCGTTTTGTTTCCATGGACAGGGCAAAGCTCTGTGTTTCTTCCACACTATGCATCTGAATAGGAAACGAATAGTCATTCTTGAACGTTTCATGAGCATCTGTAGGTGCCTCTTCACCTGGGCCAATGACTTGAGTCACAAGAATATCATCAGAACAACGTATCTCAAATAGACCATGAGAACCTGCTGCTCTCATCGACGCCCTTTGCAAGTTAACACCAAAAGCTTCCCCAAAATCATCATGAAGAACAAGCACACCACCAGAACTTTTTGCTAGCGGCAATAAGATAGGAACTCTCACTGGACAAGTTCCAGCACAAAGAATATCAACTACAGTGGCATGCCGATGTGCCTCTTGACCTAAATGCTCCATCCACTTTATAGCAGTTTTCTCCATGTACGGGTAATTAGGATGACTAAATGAGTGAGGAACTAATCCCGGGCCATAAGTATTTGGACCACCGGCACAAACCAAGATTCTGGAATTGCCTCCGGATCTTTTGATAATTCCATGAGACATCTCAACTGAGGGTCCTTGTATTATGGCTAAGGCTACCTCCACTGCAGCACCAAGGCATCGATCTCTAGATGCTTCTGGCAAGTTAAGTTTGTATGGCCGCAGAGACGAAAAAATAGTGTGTGCTACAGGAAGCGAAGCATGAACCGGTGATAAGTAAACACCAGTCCCGTAGATCAAGGCTTTCAAAGATTCTTGATCAGGTGATTTTTCGCCAGGAAGAACATCAGCAGATGCCATTGAACCCTCTGAAAAATCGTAAACTGAGACAGTCCGCCCATATGAAATTACCCCGATTCTTGTGGTCGGGGGAAGAGAATCAACGAAAGCATGCAAAGAACCCTGTAAATGCTGGAGATGAGCTTCATCTAAGCACTCATCAATGACAAGAAATATTGGGGCTGACATTCTTGAATCAGAAACAGGCATAAATCCTGGTCTTTTATTCCCAATCTGGACATAATCAATAGCTGAGCATGAGAGTTCAGGCCAGTTAAAGAGGACTTCCTTGCTGGGAGCAATATATTCACCATCACTACTGTTTAATTTCTTGCAAATCACACACTGCCATTGTCCAGAACCTAGTAAAATCTCACAATAAAGGTTAACATAAGCTCCACAGTTTTGGCATCGGTGAGGATCACGCTGTACTACTTGAGTACCGGATGCTATTTCTTTCCCAGGAGAGACTAATGCTCCAAATCCCAAGCTCGAGACATTTGCTAGTTTTTTATGTTTCAATACCTACGAAACAAAATAATTTGAGAGTTGAAATCGGATAAATATAAGGGTTACTTGCACTTAAATACCCCCAAGTTTGCACCATTTTTAACTCTAATACACCAGACTTTTCTGTTAACCAAAAAAATACCCCAAGTTAAAAATAGTTCAACTCTAATACCCTTAGATAAGTCATTTTAGGGTATAAAAATTAAATGAACTTTGGGGTATTTTTTGGGCAAAACCAACCATGGGGTATCAAAGTTAACAATTATGTAAACTTTGGGGTAATTTAAGTGCAACTAATCCTAATTACATAGTAATAAAGACAATTACAACTCTTAATTATAAGTTGAAAAAGGAACAAAAGCAAACTACAATTTTACCAATGTACCTTGTGTGAAGAAAAGAGCACATACGGAGATTCAAAAGACGACTCATCGATACCCCCTGAATGATGGAGTGGTAGGTCTGTAGATCCATTTGAATAAAGGGGAGGAGATGATGCGGGCAAAGAGGAGCCCGGTGAGAATGGAACTGGCTGGGGGGTTGCAGGGGACGTCCGAAAAGGAACAGGTGAAGGCCGAAGGGGCGAAGAGAAGACAGGTGGGCGAGGTGGAGTACTGAATTGAGGGGTCGGACTACCCAAGAGAACTCCATTGCCCGATGCTGAGGAGTCTGGTATTTGATTTTGGTCTTGTGGGGGTCTCTGGGGAGAAAATCTCGATGTCAAAGGAGAGGAGAACTGAGGAGGGTTTGGTCGCCTTTCAGGGCGAGGTGTGGGTGTTCCCGGTGAAGAAGCAGGAGGGTTGTATGCGAGCTGAGGTTGCTGCGGCGGAGTTTCCATTTATAACAAAATAGCTGCGAAGAAATTTTAAAGTCAAAACTCAACCAACAAGAATTCACTGCATTGCAAAGGAAAATGCAATTTTGCACAATAATCAGTGTAAACATTCTACATTCATAGTCGAATAAGTCAACCAAATGCATAATATTCTGCAAAATCTGTACAGCTAAAGTTACTATCTCATTAAAAAAACATAGCAATACATTAAATTTAAATCCCTACGTCTACTGAAACTTACTGATCAACATGATAGCATCAAATATGTACAGAATCCAATGAAACCAGGACGATGATGAGCTAAGTTGGACTAAAATCAAGCTGAATAAATCCTTACAAATCAAATAGCCAACTAAATTGGATCTAAAACTAATTGGATCGCGCAATCAAAAGGGTTTATAAATCGCCACTCGAATAGCAGATTTATCTAATGAAATCAAATTTTGATTAGAACCCAGATAAGAGAATCAAATTTAGGGTTCTGGGCAAGCTAGGGTTTTTAATTCACCACAAATGTAAGGAGATCGCGTACCTGACAGAAAATTTCGGAGGTCAGAGGAGGGGATTTTTACCAAATCCAGATCCCCCCTCTTTCTCTCTCTCTCTGGATTTGGACTTGGAAGCAAATTTCTTTCTGCTTTTTCAATAAATTTATTTATTTTTGTTTACTTTCTAAAATAAAAAAGATACTGTTATAAGGGCCAGAAAAAGATGGGGTTTGTCTCGGTGCAATCAATTCGCTTACGGTTTATGGGTTTAATTAAGAACAATTTTTCACTTCAGCCCCATTTTAATTTTTTTATTTAAATCGATCCTTTTTTTTTACCAAAACCGACGCGATTTTTTGATTAGCAGCTTAATCATCTTCCTAAACAATCGGGGTTGGCAACCCCGACTATTTAGGACATTAATTTTTAGGGTTTAAGAATTCTAATTAGGGTTTAACACCCTCCTAAATAGTCAGGGTTGGCAACCCTGACTGTTTAGGAAGGTGATTAAGCTGCTAATCAAAAAATCGGGTCGGTTTTGATAAATAAAAAAATAGGTCGATTTAATTTAATTTTTTTTGAAATGAGACTGTTTTGAAAATTTGTTCTTTAATTAACTAGGCTGGACGTTACTGGGCTGGGTTGGGTTCAGCCAATCCATATTAGTCCCTCACGTATTTGAAATTGCTCAGAAGTCCCTCAAATCTCAAGGGGTCATGCAAATTAATTTGGTTGTCAGTTTTCTCTGTTGGATAGCAGGTTCCTAATATGTTTCCTAATTTATTTTGGTAACAGGTTATTGGGATTCCTAATCTGTTTTGGTAGCATGATTCCAAATCTGTTTTGGTAACAAGTTATTAGGATTCCTAATATGTTTTGTTTTTTGTTTTAGAATTCCTAGTATGTTTATGATTTTAGGATTTATATATATATATAGAACAATTGGAAGAGAGAATTGAGAAGAAAATTGAAGATATCTGGAGCACAGAAAAGAGGTATTTTCTGAGTTATTGGTTAGGTTTTGTTTGGAGAGAATTAGAGATTTGTTGGCGAGATTAATTGGTGAGTTTGAGTGATTTGTAATATCAGTTTGTACTCTTCTTCTCTATTAGTGAAAAACTCTATCTCCTTCTTGTCCCGTAGACGTAGGCAACTTGCCGAACCACGTTAAAATTGGTTGTTTGTGTTTGTGGCATTGATTTGGTTCGTTTGTAGGCAACTTGCCGAACCACGTTAAAATTGGTTGTTTGTGTTTGTGGCATTGATTTGGTTCGTTTGGCTTTCTCTCAACGTTCGTTTGATTTGATTTCTCGAAATTCATCGGTTTGGTTTTGTGGCTTCCGTGCACACAACAAGTTGTATCAGAGCTCGAGTTACGCTTGGACTATTTGGAGGAGTAGGTCGTTTTGGAGGCTCGCCTAGGGCTTCGTTTGGTGATAAAGGTGAGATCTTTTTGGTAAAGACTCTATCTTTTTTAATTTTTGATCTATTCTTCATTTGTTCCGCATTTGTTTTGGTGTTTTGAGAAAGATGGTTAGGAAAGAAGGAGTTGTGGAGGATACTTTCGGCATGAAGACCGTCCAAAGTGTGAATATCCACTCTACGAAGATAGATGTGGAGAAGTTTAATGACACAAACAATTTTGGTCTTTGGAGATGTGAAGTCTTGGATGCGCTCAATTCGCAAAATTTGAAAGATACATTAGAGTTGGACGGGAAACTGGACGACATTGAGGAGAATGTTTGGAAAAAGATGAATAGAACGGCGTGTGGTGTGATTTGATCTTGTTTGACTCAAGATTTAAAATATGATGTGATCAATGAGACTTCGGCTAAGAAGATTTGGGAGAACCTAGAGGGCAAATATTTGACCAAGAGTGTAGAGAACTGCTTGCATTTAAAGAGGAGATTTTATCGCTTCCAATTGAAGAAGGGGACCTCCATTGGTGATCACATGAACCACTACATGAAGCTTCTTACGGATTTGACTGTAGATGAGGACAAGGCGTTGTTGTTGTTGAGTTTCTTGCCTGATGAGGAATATGAGACATTCGTTCTTACTCTTATTAATGAGAATGCATCTCTTTCTTATAGTGAGGTCACCGCTGTACTTGTGAATTATCAGCTTCGAAAGAAAGATAAGGAGACTTCAGTTGAGCCGGTAGCGAGGGTATTGGTCGAAAGAGCAAAGAGTTCAAATCATGGTAGGAGGTCGTAGTCTAGAGGGAAACATCTTGGAGTTCGTAGGAATCAGTGTTCCTTTTGTAAAGAGGATGGACATTGGAAAACCGAATGCCCAAAGGTTGATTGAGCCGGGAAGAATAAGGGGAAAGCTATTCAAACTTCAGAGGTGAATGTTGTCAAGGCTAGTGGCAATAATTTAGATTCGGATTCTTCGGGCTACTCATTATCTGCACTACCGTCAGTTTGTGTTACCGACTCTATAGAGTGGATGTTGGATTCGGGTGCTTCTTACCATATTTGCCCTAGGAGGGATTGGTTCTCCAGCTTTCAAGAGTTGGAAAGAGGGGAGGTCGTGCTCATAGGTAATGATCATGAATATCCTATTGGTGGTATCGGTACCGTTCGGATTAGGATGAGTGACAGAGTTATTCGGGAGTTGGTTAGAGTGAGGTTCGTTCCTCAGTTGAAGAAGAACATCATTTCACTTGGAGTTTTGGAGGTAGCAGGCTATATGGTGACCTTGGTCGATTCACATGTGAAGGTCGCATTGGGGTCCATGATTATGATGAAGAGTGTCAGGAGGAATAATTTGTATTATTTGATTGGGAGCACGGTGTTTGATAGAGAGCTGACGACTTCTTTAGGAATAATTTGTATTATTTGATTGGGAGCACGGTGTTTGATAGAGAGCTGACGACTTCTTTGGATTTGACTAGACTGTGGCATTTGTTGAGGCTGAGTTATTTGATTGGTTATGCCGTGCATGATTTGTTGAGGAGTGCTTTGACCTGCAGATTGAAGTCCTTTGAGCACATTGGTATGAGCAAGAAGATCGAGGTAGAGTTTGATACTTTTATCCATCGATTAAGGGGTCTTTTAGGTGGTGTTCAGTTAGGCATTTGGGGGCCTTCCAAGGAGGCATCATTAGGAGGTAATCAATATTTGGTTTTCGCGGTTAGGGATTGTTCTAGGCATTGATGGGTTGCAACCAGGTCCTGTTGGTGTGAAGTCCTAGAAGTCAACAACGATTGGAAGAAGTGTATTGGCAGAAAGGTAACCCGTCATTCTAGCTTTGGTAGGGGTTCTTTCTTGTATTTGTACCGAGCTCATGGCAATTTGAGACACTTCATTGATGTGGAGACATTGGAGCGACGAGATAAGATGACAGTTTTGATGGGTTGTTCCTTACTGGAGGGGGATTATTGTTGGTTGTCGAGCATTGGTTTTGATTTTGGAGCTTCAACATATTTGGGTCATATTGGTCATAGGTTGCCGACTGTTGTGTGTGGAGATTTTGGATCTGGTGGAGCTGCTTCAGATTTTGGGTTACGTTGGATATTTGGTTGCCTAGTATTTGGTCACATCGAGGATGTGAGATTTGATCCGATTGCACATTTGGGATTCAGAGGTTCGTTTGATTATCAGTTTGGAGCTTCTGATTTTGTTCTGAGCAGGTATGTTACATTTGACTCTCGGTTGGTGGAGAGTGTTGATCAGATCATTAGGATATCGCGACGGGTGAAGGGTGATGATACTTCATATTGGGTGGAGATTACTTCACATCCTCCAGATCATACTGCATCATTTGAGATTCTAGTTTAGGTGGCACAGTTTGGAGATCATTTGGATTTGGATGCAGATGATAAGTTGGTTTTGGATTCGAGTGCAGCTGGTGGACATGTTTTGGATATGAACATTGGTTCACCTCAGGTGGAGGTGTTTGATTTGTTTCAGTTTGGGGCCATTGGGAGCGCTATTAGTTGCAGATCTGTTGGTGGTATTGGTGCAGAGTTGCAGCTGGTGGACATGCCTTTGGAGGTCGTTTGGGTGAACTACATGAATGCTTGATTCCTTGGACAAGAGGATACGTATGCAGTCATTTATGATGCAGCCGGTTTGATGAGTTGATACCGACATTTGGAGTTTGTTCGCATTCTCATTTGGGTTCTCAACTTGTTGTGGATTGAGTCTGTTGTCTTGGATTTGTTCCACTTCGTACTGGACGCAACAAGTGAGACGTTTGGTTGGTATTGGTGTCGGCTCAGTTTTGGGAAAACTTCGCCGAGATGAAGAATTGTTGGATAGCAGGTTCCTAATATGTTTCCTAATTTATTTTGGTAACAGTTTATTGGGATTCCTAATCTGTTTTGGTAACATGATTGCAAATCTGTTTGGGTAACAGGTTATTAAGATTCCTAATATGTTTTGTTTTTTGTTTTAGAATTCCTAGTATGTTTATGATTTTAGGATTTCTATATATATGGAACAATTGGAGAGAGAATTGAGAAGAAAATTAAGGATATTTGGAGCACAGAAAAGAGGTATTTTCTGAGCTATTGGTTAGGGTTTTGTTTGGAGAGAATTAGAGATTTGTTGGTGAGATTAATTGATGAGTTTGAGTGATTTATAATCTCAGTTTGTACTCTTCTTCTCTATTAGTAAAAAACCCTATCTTCTTCTTGCCCTGTGGACGTAGGCAACTTGCCGAACCACGTTAAAAATTGGTTGTTTGTGTTTGTGGCATTGATTTGGTTCGTTTGGCCTTCTCTCGAGGTTCGTTTGATTTGATTTCTCGAAACACATCGGTTTGGTTTTGTGGCTTCCGTGCACACAACATTCTAGTTGCATCTTGAAACCATTATTGGGTTGACTTTTAACCCAAATCCTCAATTACCGAAACATCTCTCAGCAAGAGTTTAGAATGTTGGAGGCGGCGATGAGAAATAGGTTAGGCTTCTCCACAGCTTAAAATGTTAGAGGGGAAGATCGGAGATCAGTTGGTTGGAAATTTAGAGGATTATATAGATTTTAGAGGGGATATGATCATTGATAAATTCAAATATGAATTAGAGGGAATTTTGACCCTCTGAGAAGATGATATTTGTGGGTTTTTAGTTAGTGGGTTTTGGACATAAAGCTGTTATGAAACAGTTAGGTTAAGAAATATTATCCTTAAGCCTTGTTTGGCAAAGGCCTCGTTTAGCAAATGGTTAAAAAAGAGGGATTAAGGAGAAGAATTAACATGATTAACTCATTCAATAATTCAAAGGACTAAATTATTAACCCGTTATATAAGTTTTATTTTAGCCATTGTGATCATTCTTAATGTGAGAATAATAATGGTTTTGACTATTTTTTATAATTAGAGGGTTAACTCTCAATCATTCTAAATACAAGTATCAGTAAACCCCTCATTTTGAGGGGTTAACTCATTTTAATCCATCTAGAAATGTTAATTTAACCCTTCTGCATTTTTTTGCGTTTCACAAATTATGGAGGGTTACTCACTTTAAATCTTCTTAACCCCTCAGTTAATCCTTTTCCAAACGGCACCTTAGGATTTAGGGATGAATAAGCAATGTCATTGAGGGACTAATATCCACATATCCCAAAATTAAAATAGTTCATTTGGATCAAAGAAGATTTTCGAGGGGGAATATCTTCAAGAGAGGAAGGAAAAAGTATGCAAAGATTAATGATAAAAAAATGCAGGATCATTGCAATTTAGTTAACTTGATTTAATTTTGCAGTTTTCTGAATACAGATATACACACATTCCCCATGATACAGTTGTAAACAAACATGAAGAACCAGCAACTTAAAGAGCACAATGGATACAACAGTCCACATAACAGAGGTACATAAAAGAACACCGTTTCCATATTACACATTCTGCGTCAAAATTGAAACCAATAACCGAACAAACATACAGAGATTCCACATTCCAACAATTAAAAACGTTAAATTGCTAACAAGTTTTATTCGCTATTATAAGGGGTGGAAAACTCAGAAAACCCCTCCACGTCAGATTTTTAGCCCTCCACGTCAGCTTTTTTGTTTCCGTTCATTTCTTTGTGCCGCTTTGGTTCGATCGAATGGAAGAGGGAAAACTCTGCTGAAATCGCCGCCAACTAAGATTTTTTTTCCCTCTCCGGTTTCCTTCCCCAACCAAGTGAAATTGATGAAAACTCTACCACGTCAGATTTTTTTCCTTCTCTGCTTTGTTTACAAAAGTTTTCCTTTTTTTTCTATGCGAACCAAACACAAGAAAAATAAATACATTGGTTTCCCACCATTTTTTATGTGCGAACCAAAGCAAAACAATCCATTTCTTGGAAAAGTTTGGAAAACTCAAAACTTGTGTTTCTTTACATGGAATTGCATTTCTCTATATCAAGGAAACGAACCAAACAACCCGTGGAAAATGGAAGGAAAAAATAGGAAACCCCCTCCTAACCCTGTCCAGTTTTCAATACTAAAACCAGCATTCCACATTCCACAAGTTAATCCCACATATGGATACAAAAACCATGACAAGTTTTCTACACATTACTTTCAGAAACAAGAAAAAAAAATTCTTTTTCTCCTCGTTATGCGGTTCTTCTCTCTTCCAGATGCGGTTCCCTACCCACATGAACATTCAAATAGGGTTCCTCCATTGGAAGTTTCCCTCCTTGGAAACCCTTGATCATATTCTTTTTCTATTTTTCTTGTTTATTTATGTTCCTTAAAACCATATTTCTTTTCGTGATAATTATCTTCGAGGGACTTCAACCTCTTTAATAAAACTGTTAAAAAATAAGTGATGTGATAATAAGATTACAATACTGATCAAAGGAGATGATATAGCGTTTCACTGTCTTGAACTAATGGACTTTCTTCTCTTTCCTTCCCTTCTCTTCTCCTCACTCATATTCTAATTTGCAAGACAAGGCCAAAATTTTTATACGTGAGACACTAACCTTTCCACTAATAATGGTATTGCATAGGGTTAGTTGCGGATGGACAAACTGTACTGTGGCCAAATTGCACATAGACCCCAGTAGTTCTATCTGTTCGGATAGACCACCTGAGTATTCTTTGACTCTTAAAAGAGTTTAAAAAAAAACTCAGGGGTCTATCCGCACTTGAGCAAATACTGCACCTGTTCAGGGGGTCTACCCGCACCAATAGAACTATAAAGGGTCTATCTGCAGTTGGGCTTTAGTACAGAAGGTCTATCCACAATTACCTCTATTAAAATACATCACATATAATACATGCTTCAGACTTAAGATCCTACACACATGATTAATTAACTATAAAAATATACTATCACATATGCTTAATGGGTGGGATATTACATGTACAGTAAGAATATTCATTAAACAAGCAGATAAGGTTATTCAAAACGATAATTCTTTTTTAATTACAGTTAACCAATCAGTTCTGTTCATTCCTATTTAGGAAAATAGTTTTTAAAAACAAACAACCTCAAAAGAAAAGTTGGATCGTCAAGAGGCAGTAAAGATTTAGACAACCATCAACGAACACAAGTAAACTGCTGGACAGTAAGTTATACCTGAAGCTGTGATTCAGTAAACAAGAAGCTCCCCGACTTGTGCTATCAGAAGTCAGGCAGTTACTCTTGAAACAACAACCTCTGCAATCAAAGGACCCTGTCACTACACCAAAATTCCGAAGTTTGGTTGAAGGTTACATTTTTACACTCTAACATGGTCCCGCAAATTGAGCGCCCTTTTTGCTGCAGACCGAGTCTTGGACTCACGCAGTGCATCAACTTTTTTAGAATCTGCTTTAAATTTGTGCAGTGGGATTTGAACCGGGGTTACTCTGTATCATGTCAAAAGACCTTGCCACTTTATTTGTGGTGAGGGTTGAGGGTTAATATTTTTATACTCTAACAACTCCGTTGCAGATGAAACGGTTTTTGAAACAACAACATATCCACTTTCACATAACAGTTTATCAACAGTGAGTCAGCTAGAGTTACCTAGTCCCTCAGACAATATACTGCTTACTCCATCACCATCTTCATATGCTTCATTTTCCCCATCATTTCCATCTACATCAACATTTCCAACCAGCAATCCATGTGTATTAGAATCAGGGACCCAGCCCTTTTCTAACATCCAGTCCAAAAACCTACGAGCTTCATGCTTATTACCTTCTTTCAAGAGGCCATAGATGATTGCATTACACAGTGCAGGACTTGTCAATGCATCACTTTCAATAACTTTATTTAAGCTATGAACCACCAAATGCAACTGACGACATTTGGATGTAATGTTAACTAGCTTTTCAAGTGTTTCTGTGTCAGGAACTAAGCCGCTCTCTTGAACCATCTGATTGAATAAGATAGCAGCATTGTAGCTCGTGCTTTCAACACACAGACTACATATCAGAATTCGGTAGGTTCTGAAATTCAAATTACAGCCTCCCATCAGCATTTGTGAAAGGAGAGGCAAGGTATCCTTTCGTTTGTTTAAATCCAACAATCCTAGAATAATTATTTCATATGTAGATGCTGTGCAAGCAGTACCATAACATGATGCAACGGAGCGAAGGTTGATGGCTTCTTTCACCTTTCCATCAAGGCAAAGACCTTGAATTAGTACTTCAAGTGCATTTGTAGTCAGAGTGCAGCCTTTAGTACTAGCGCAGTAAAAGACGCCAACGGCCTCTTGAACCCTCTCCATAAGACAAAGACCATTAACTAGGTCGGAACAAGACTCAGAACCAAATGACATGTTCTTCACAATACCCTGCCTAAACCAATCCAAAGCACTATCATATGAGCATGTCTTACAAAATCCAGTTATGATAGAAGAATAAGTAGCTACGTCCGGTGAATTAGAGAATACGATCATTTTCCCGAAAACTTCAAATGCTTTTCTAACGAAACCCTTTTTGCATAAACAGTTGATGAGGATATTCCAAGAATGAACATCAGTTATGCCCATCTCTTGAATCATTTGCAGGTATTTTGCCGCCTCTTGAATCCTGGCCACATCGCAAAACCCTTCAAGCAATGCATTGTAAGGCTCCACATCAGATATATCATTTTCTTTTACAAAGCTCATTGCTTCATCAAACTCCCGTAGTTTGCAATATGCATTCACAATATCCACGAGAATACAAGTCATGGGAGTAACGCCCGATTCAGTCATTTCTTCAAACACTTCCAGTGCATCTTTCATCCTCAGATCTTCACATAAATGTTGAATCAAAACACTATACAAGAATAAATCGGGTGAAAAGCCATCAGCTTTCATCAAGTTAAACAGCTTAATAGCTTCGTCCAATCTATGAACCCTACAAAACAAGGGCACCAGACTCATATAAAAGTCTCGATCGCGATTACATCCAATCTCCAACATCTGGTCCCAAACCCTAACAGCTTCATCAACTCTTCCTTTAGAACAAAGCCCACAGATCAAAATCTCATATGTTCGACAATTCGGTTTGCAATTCTTCTTCTCCATCCTCCCAAACTGATCCAATGCCAACTCCATTCGACCACCCTCAATCAAAACACTAATCAAGCAATTTAGAGTGTCCACATTGGGCAAGATCCCAGCTTTCACCATCTCCTTATAAACAAATACAACCTCGTCAAGGTTCAATCTTTCTTCAACAACAGAGCTCAAAAGTGCATTACAGGTCGAAATCGGGAGCCGAAACTTGGCTGAGCTGGCGATCTCGAACACTTTGAGAGCCTCTCTTGGTCTCTGATTCCTGCAGAAGGACTCGACCAAGGACTGAAACGAGAATTCAACATCTGGGTAATGAAAATTTACCATTTCTTTCAAGGATTCTTCCATCTCCTGGGATTTTCCCGCCAAGCCGAGATTGAAGATGGAAATTTTGTTGCTTTTGTTGAAAGGGCGGGCGGCAGAGCTGTGAATTTGAGGAGCTGAGGTGGAGGACTGGAGGAGGGAGAGAGAGATGGGGGCTCGTTTGGAGAGGAGAAAAGATGAGAGCTTTGTTGCTGCTGCTGCAATCGCCATTGGAGATGACAGCAGCAGGCATGCTGATAATGAACAGAGTCCCCCTAATCACTGTGAAGTCAAGCTAAGAAAGAACCTGATTACTTTCATAATATAAGGTTTGAGGGGCCGTTTGGTTCATTATAAATGTAAATGTTGCATGCAGTAATGGTGTGTTTGGGAGTTTACTGGGGAATGGGAAGGGAAGGTAAACAAAGGGAGGGGAAGGGAAGGTAAACAAAGGGAGGGGAAGGGAATTGTAATATGTTGTTTGGAAGTTGATTAAGGTGAATAAAGGTGAAATTAATATAACTTGTTTGGGAGTAATAATGGATGGAAGGGAAGGGAAGGAAATATATGTAAATTTACACAAATGACCTTATACTAATAACACACAATCTTATCAAATCTTTATACACAACTCAAATTGACAAAACAAAAACAACAATTCTTCAAACCAATTTTACCACATGCAATTCTCCATAAATCGGCAACAAGTTTGTAATCGTCATACAATAACTTTATACACAAATCAAATTGACACGATGCATCTTATCAAAACAAAAACAACAATTCTTCAACCAATTTTACCACATGCAATTCTCCATAAATCGGCAACAAATTTATAATCGTCATACAATAACCAAAAAGTGACAAGAAATTACAATCGCCATCTACTATTCCAAGTTTGCCATAAGCATCCATAATTCGGCAACAAGTTTGTAATTGCCATATAATAACAAAAAAGTGACAAGAAGCCATAATTGCCACCAAATACCCAAAAGCATCTATCAAAAGTAGAAAACCAAAATATTAAAGCTGAGTAAGTAGAAAGCTAATAATGAGGCAGGGGTGGCATAGATGCCTTATGCATCATCCTCACGAGTATTTGCTTCGGCCTCTCTCTTGGACATCCAAGTACTCCCCTTAGATTCTCTGGAGAATTAAGTAAGAATATGTATGCATCATCAATGTGTTCGTCGTCGACTCCAATCTCAACCAAAAGACTCCAAAGATCATCCGCTTTAATTATAGTCTTTTCCTGAGCCTTGTTGAATATCTCAGCACTTGCAAGCATTGCTTCAGCCACTTTTTCTATGCCATTATAAATTTTTTCAGCACCAGCATCCTCCTTTGACTTTCTGCTCTTCTTCAGTGAATTTGCTGTTGACCTAGTCTCCATTGTAGCCCCACGAAAATCTTCTTTGTCAATTGCTTCTTGGTTACCATCAAAACTCTCCAAGATGATTTCCTCCCTGGAAACCATGTCATCAATGCCATCAATTGTAAGATCAACATCAACCTCGTTAGTATCAGTACAAGACCGCCTCCTCTCTCGTATCTCAGCCGCAGTTTCGACATGCTCTCCTGTTGCTCTATCAGCTGCAAAAAGCTTTAGTAGTTTATCGTAATTTTGAATAGGTTTGGTCCTCCATTTAGTAGCTTCTGGATGAGCCTGTAATTTTGTAAAAAATACTAATAAGGCAAACAATTTATACATTGTGCCAAGTATATGATTATAGCCAATCAGTCGCAACAATGTATACATTGTGCTTAAGTAATTTATACATTGTGCCTAGTATATGCTCTCCTGTAATTTTTTTTTTCACAAATTCCTACTATTAGGGAGTATATGATTATAGCCAATCAGTCGCAACAATCAGCACATAAAAAACACAACTGAATTCAACCAAATCTAACAATATTTCAGATTTATGCCTAACTATAATGAAAACTAATTTTATTTTTGGTGTTTAGAATGGAGAAGCTGGACATAAAGAAGGTGAGATGCCAAGCCAAGGTGATAGGGAGCATAGTGACAGTAATAGGAGCCATGTTGATGACTCTATACAAAGGACCCATCATCGAATTGTTTTGGGTAGCTTTGTTGCATACAGCATCAGAAACAGTGGCAGCTGAAGATATTGAATTAAAGCTAAGGAGCGAATGGGAACTCCCTGTGGGATTCATTTAGCTAAGGAGTTTTCTTAATAACAAGAAGAAAAAGATAGATTGTCAAGTTTTCATAAAAAAAATGGTTATCTATTGGTACAATTCAGTGAGTAATTTGTACCCATTTCACTTTCAAGTGTGTTTTGTATGACAAATGAAATGTATGCACCAGTACTATGTTTAACAGGGTTTTTGCTTTTTTCTTTCAAGTTAACAAAACTCATATTTATGCCTAACCATGCTCAAATGAGAATTCAATATTTATGCCTAACCATGTCTCAAACTACTGTTAGGCCAGCTAGTTCTGGAAGAGCCTGTCTCAATTTTTTTTCTCCATGCAATTACCCCCCCTGCACTTTTTTCTTTCCAGTTTACACATTTGGTATAATTTCCACTTTTAAGTTTCTTTTTTCTTGTCCATTTTAACATACAATAGATCATAATGACTCTAATAACTGTAATGCATAAGAATGAAACATTTGTTAGATTATGAAATAGAAGAGTGACACTAATAATTACCAAAAATTAGCTGAAGTGATGGAGCCATAGATATTCTGACAATATCCAACAAAATCCAACAAAATCCAAGTATGTAATTCAAATTTGGAACTGTAAACCGACAAATAATTCTTTCGTACAAAGAAAAGATAGTTATTTTTCATTACCTGAATTAGTTGATCCCACACTTCAGGTTCTGCACTCCACATGTTAGTGTTGCGATTCCAAGCAAAGCCGCTGCCCGCATTCTTAAACAAGTCATAGCAAGCTGCCCATTTTGACTTCATATACTTCATACGATTTTTCACCTTATCCTTATCAATTGGCTTATCGGGAAACATTTCTTGGAGTTCAGCCACTATTTGATTGTAAGCCGTTGGTGAAAAGACGGAATTGTGCCGGTTTCCAATCACATCTTAATGCAAAAGAGCTTCAATTAACTTCTCATCCATAGCACAATTCCACACCAAAGAGATGTGATTTCTTCCCTTAGAAGAATCACCATCCGTATACCTTCTTTTTGACATTACTAATTTACACAATAATGTTAGAAAATATAAAATTACATTCCTATTTTACATAATAATCTTAGCAAATACACAAGAAAATTAATTACAAGTCTATATATGAAGGACAATAGAAATAGAAAACATAAGTCTAGTCACCAAGTACAATAGAAATAGAAAACATAAGTCTTACAATCATCAAACACAACAAAAAATTAATGAAGGACAATAGAAATAGAAAACATAAGTCTAGTCTTACAAAAAAATTATTGCAACAATCATGCATTATAATCTTGCCACATAGAAGCTGCAATGAAATCTCTTAAACATTCCCCTCTTTGTTCATCTTCATCCTCGTTCACATTATCTTCGACCGATGGGTTTTCATTATCACCTTCTACCCCTTCAGGGAAATCATCTTCTGGGTCGGTACCTCTTAAAAAATTATGCAAAATACAACAAGCAAGGATGATTTGAATTTGTACTTTAACACCATAATTCGGTTCAGTTGAGCTCGCTATGATGAGAAATCTTTTTTTTAAACGCCAAATGCTCTTTCAATGGCATTGCGAAGTGACACATGTCTTAGGTTAAATAGCTCACGAGTCCTTGGTGGATTTCTTGAATACTCATTCAAATGGTAGCGTTCCCCTCTATAGGGTGGAATTATTCTACTTTTTAACATGTACCCACCATCAGCGAGATAATATTTTCCTAAAAAAATTCATTGTGATTAATAACTGATAAAAAAGGGTTTCATTGTCATTAGTAAATTATTCAGGATTAATGATTACCTTGAGGGATTTTAAGTGGAAATCGTCGTTGCAAAGCATTTTTTAAAATTCTGGAATCAGATGCAGTACCTTCCCACCCAGGTAACACATAAGTGAATTTTAAGTCAAATGTGCAGGCAGCCAACACATTTTGTGTTGGATGATCTTTCCTACCACGATATTTAGGAGCGTCAGTAGGAGAAACCTTTACTCGGATGTGTGTTCCATCTATTGCTCCAACACAATCCTGATAATATAAGGAGTAATTAGTTAAATTCTAATTTTAACAATCTATACAAAGATAAGAATTTGTGTAATTTATCATCACCTTGAAATATGGATCAAACTTTGGATTATTGCGTATCTCTGAAGGAATTTGTGATCCATTGGGTTGCACTAAAAATATCTCTTCCAATTCTATCATAGCTCTTAAAACATTATGAAAATGACGACTCACACTCTCTCCAGATCGTCCAAATATCTTACTAACCTCACGAGTAGTTACGTTGTGTCCCAACATATATAAAAATTTTGCAACTTGTTCCTCAATAGTAACTCTTTGAGTTCTTTTAAGCCCGCCATCTCTCTCCAATATTCCACATAATTGATGAAAAGCCGGTGGATTCATTCGGATCATTTCTCTACATACAACCCTTTGTGATAATATTTTTCGCACCATATTAGTTACTTATCTACGCTCGTAGGGTTCACTATTTAATCTCCTTCTATTTTCTCTTTGTTGAATGAACCAATAAGCAATCACACAAAGAACATATCCAATTGCACAATGGCATTCATGTTGAAATTTGACCCATGCTTCATCCATTATCTATATGTGAGGATATGGAAATAACACAATTAGAATAGAAAATTAAAAATCGTTAATTATACACAAACTAATGATAAATTTAGAAGCTCTTATTACTATACACAAATTAGTTTATTATGTAATTTCAATACTCTTTTATAACACTACTTGATCTAGAATAAAAATTTCAATACTCTTTTATAACATATGTAGTCATTTGCTCTTTATGGCAATGTTGCACTGAAGTCAATTGATATAAATTCAAAGTAAAATAACCAAAAACCCCTAAAAAATCCACAGAGCAAGAAGAAATCAGAGGGAAATTGAGCTCATCAATGGCGAATTCCTCTTCCATCTCTCTCCTAAAAAATCCACAAATTTTGACCAATTTTATTATATGCACAGAGAACACACTATAAATGCCAGGCAATCCCACATGGGGCTGTTAGCCCCATAGCTAGCCATTCACCTCCCCTTTCCCCTTCATCACACCAGCATCAATTACATATGGGAGATTTTGTTTAAAAAATCCACAGATAAAAAATACGTAGATAAAAAATGGGGAGAAAAAGAAACCCACTTGCTGTCCATGGCTTTGCCATTAGAATCCATGACCTCAAACCTTCAAATCATAAAAAAATTCACAGAGCAAGAAGAAATCAGAAACTGAGAAGAAAGAGAGAGACATGGCTGCTTACTTGAAGGAGGATGTCGGCGATAGGAATCGAGTAGAGAACTCCGACGAGGTGAAGAAGACAACGGCGCGGGGGTGAGACCGCCGGGGGCGCGTGGGGGAGAGCGCGGGAGGGAGAGCGTGTGACGGTGGCTGCAGAAATTGGAAAATAGATGGGAGAGTAGGGTTTACATCACAACCCTTGATTTATTTGTTGATGAAGGGCAATATAGACATTCCAGTATTGCTGTGAGTTTTCCCAGTTCTGTTCCCCTTCTCTACCGCCCAAATCGGGGGGGGGGGGGGGGGGGGGGGGGGGGGGGAACAATTTCCCCTCCATTTTTCCTTCCTCCCCCTTTCATTTCCCCTTCCTCACCCCTCTCTACCCCCTTAAGAAAACTCCCAAACAAGGTGAACAATAATTTTCTCTTCCCCTCCCCCTCTCTACCCTACAAAAGTGAACTCTCAAACAGGCTGTAAACGTCGCAAGCAGAATTTGTTGTAAGAAATCTCTTGGATAGCCGTATTTCTAATCTATTTTGATAACATGAGGTTATTAGGATTCCTAATTTATTTTGGTAATATGAGATTATTAGTATTCCTAATCTATTTTGGTAACATGAGGTTATTAGGATTCCTAATTTGTTTTGTTTTTGGTTTTACTAATCTATTTTGGTAACATGAGGTTATTAGGATTCCTAATTTGTTTTGTTTTTGGTTTTAGGATTCCTAATCTGTTTTGGTTTTAGTTTTAGGTTATTAGGATTCCTAATTTGTTTTGTTTTTGGTTTTAGGATTCCTAATCTGTTTTGGTTTTAGTTTCTCTATATATATGGAGATTATAATCAATCATCAAAATAGAGGAGAGTTGTAATCAGAGATTAGAGAGACTTTTGAGCATTGTGAGGGGGAGATATTGTGAGCAAGTTGAGAGCTTTGGTTAAGGGTTAGTTTATGAGTTTTGTGAGATTGTAACCATTTGTACTCTCCTTGATTTAGTGGAATCTCCCAATCCTCTCCCCGTGGACGTAGGTAATTTACCGAACCACGTAAAATTAGTTTGTCTCGCTTTTGAGATTTGTAATAGCTTATTTAGGTTCTCTCGACAAGTCAGCTAGAACTGATGAGAGGAAGAGCTGATATCCCACTTTGTTGAGATATTTTGCTTAAGGTTCTTGTTTCCTTTGTGAAACAGGAATTCCTATTGCAATCTGACTCTCTTGTTGTGCTGCCGAAGTGCTGCTAAAATTTCCGCTGCGCGCAACAAGTGGTATCAGAGCCCAGGTTTCATATCTAGGGTTTTGAAATTAGATGGAGGAAGATTCTTGTGTGAAGCTTGGTTCTTGGAGTTCTAGGCTTCGGTGGAGATAGCATTAGGAGTTGTCGTTGGAGATTTTGCTTTCCTCGTATGGACATGAGATCTATTTGGAATCCAATCTATGGTTCAGTTGGATAATTCTTAATTTCTATCGAAGTTTGTTTTTCTCTACAAATTGGAGTTAGTTTGCAATGGGAGGAGAAGGTGAAAGCAGCAAGTCGATGGCGAGTACGGTCAAGTTGGTTTTCAGAACACCAAAATTAGTATAGTGAAATATGATGGTAAAATCAACCTTGGTTTGTGGATGAGCGACATACAAGATGCGCTTAATGCTCAGAACTTAGAGGAGACTATTATGATCCACGAGAGACCACCAAAATATGAAGAGGCGATATGGGAAAAGATGAATAGGAATGCTTGTGGGGTGATCAGGTCCTGTTTGAAGCATGAGCTAAAGTATGATGTGATTGGGGTAACGTCTGCGATGAAGATATGAGAAATTCTCAACAATAAGTACCTTACGAAGAGTGTTGAGAACATGTTACATTTGCTGCATAGGTTATTCAAATTCCAGATGTCCAGAGGCACCTCGCTTGCGGCTCATGTGAACAACTATACGAAGTTATTGTCGGACTTGGAGAATGTTGATGAGAAGATATCGGATGAGTACAAGGCGATTATCTTATTGGGCTCCTTACCGGATGAGGAGTATGACACATTTGTGCTCACTTTGTTGAACGAAAAATCTTCTATCAGCTATAGTGAAGTTCCTAATGCATTGATGAATTATGATTTGAGAAGGAAGGACAAGGAGACTTCCTGTGCTAGTACTTCAGGAGAGGTCTTATCGACAAGAGGAAGAAGCCCATGTCCAAAAGGTGGTAATAGAGGAAGGTCAAAGTCAAGAGGTCGTCACCAGGTAAGAAAGAACCAATGTGCATTATGCAAGGAGCAGAGACATTGGAAAAGAGATTGTCCAAAGATCAAAGAGAAGGAGAATAGCAAGAAAAAGAGCCCGAAGGCCAATGAGGTGAATATTGCAACAGACGATGATTCCGATGATTCGAGCTTTTCTCTACTGATTACTCCGGAGGTGAACCACTTGGATGCATCAGATTGGATGCTTGATTCCGGTGCTACCTATCATGTGACCCCTAGACGAGATTGTTTGCATCTTTTGAGAAGCTCGATGGGAGAGTTGTAGTCATGGAAAATAATCAGTCCTGTGGCATTTGCGGGATAGGTACTGTGCGGATCCGGATGCACAATGGGGTAGTTCATAAATTGAAGGAGGTGAGATTTGTTCCTCAGCTGAAGAAGAATCTTATCTCAGTTGGAGCTTTGGAGGCGAAGGGATTCAAGGTGACCTTTGAGGATGTTGTAGCAAAGGTTACTAAGAGATCTTTACTGGTGATGAAGGAAGTCCGCAGTCAGAACTAGTATTAT